AAAAATACTTAATGAACACGTGAGTTCAAAAACACTTATTATTTCGTCTCACATCAACTATTTCATTTACCCATGTTCTACCCAACATATTTGTAGATGCAAACACATATACAATTTAAATATTTTAAAACCTTTATAAAACATTATTTCAACATCCATCTCAATAAACAAACACTGTATAAACACATAACACGTACTTTATAGCAAATACTTCATATCTACGTGTTAGAAGAAAGTAACTACACACTCACTTGATCAGAAGATGATCGAACAGCACTACGGCTCTAAGAGTAGTATTCTTCAGTGAAACCGGGATGCTTCCTTGAAAACTGGGCCTCTCGCGGGCAGAGTTTCGGCTCGTAAACTTTACTTCTCCGGATCCTCGGGGATTCGGGACTTACTTCGAGTCTCGGGAATGATATCGGGGCTTCGGGGTACAACTTGCACGCAAAACGAGGAAATAACGAGTGAGAGAGAAGAATTTAATCACTAAAACTCGGCAGCCCACGACATCTATTTATAGGGGTTGATCCCTGCGATTACGCTGGGTGTAACTTCAGAGTACGTTGGGCGTACATCGGGTACGCTGGGCGTACTAAGCGGATCAGGCCGAATGCGTCACTGCTTACGGACCCGAGGCACTCGAGTGGTGGAGTAGGGCGACGTGGCCCAACCCAGACCATGAACCATGAGTACGCTGGGCGTACTCCGCATTTCCAAACTTCTAAAATTCGTATCTTTCGCATACGAGCTCCGTTTTTGACGTTCTTTATATCCACGCGTAGGTGATACTATGCTCTACAACTTTCATTTAGACTCTGTCGGCTAATTTTGACTTTATTTTTATTATTATATTTTTAACAGGCCGGGACAGGAAAAGTCCGTTAAAAATTCATAACTTCTTCATCCGACGTCCATTTCCGTCTGTCTTTTTACCGTTGAACTACTATCGACGAGATCTTCGATTCTCGTTTAGATTGTTTCGGCTAGAAACCACTCGATCTCATATTCGAACTTTGGGCTGCATACTGCTAAGTCGAAACTTCGAAAAATCATAACTTCCTCATACGAAGTCAGATTTAGACGTTCTTTTTATGCACGCTCTCAGTTTAACGTATTCTACGACTTTCGTTTAGATCGCTAAAGCCAGATATTTCTCTATCGTAAATTCACTATTTACGTCGCGTTGTGTCGTGCCGGTTCTGTCGCGAAACTTCGACAGGTCATAACTTCTTCGTTATAACTCAGATTTCGACATTCTTTATATATTTGGAATCCTTGTCACGACTACTACAACTTACTTAAGATTAATCCATCTGAATAATCTTCCATCAGAAAGTCATTTTCGACGCTTATCGTCTCTAAATTGACTAGCCCGGATCTGCGGGCGTTACAATATTATTAAAAATGGCAATTAAAATATAATTTTAGCTTTTGAAATATTTGTAGAAGTTATCAAACATATGGATTATTTCAGACATGTTTCAGACTATCTTTATATTACATATAAAAACAAATGACAAAATACATCTCGGATGTTAGATTTCGATTTTTCAGATCTGGTTCGTCTTGCATGGATAAAGTTTCCAACTTTATCTCTTCCCTTGGTTCAAACAAGCAAAACCATAAGCCCTAACTCTCAAAATGACCTAAAATGACCAAAAGACTATGCATGGCTTGGAAAGGGGACAAGAACTCGACTTTCAAGCAAGAAGATGGTCCATAATGAGTCTAAGACAACATCAATCACCTGAAGTTTCCAAACTCCAAGAAATCATAAGCTAAAAGGACCAAAGACAACCAAAACACCATCTAAACCTAAATCTATACATGGAAATCAAGAAAGCAAGAATTTTTTATACTTACAAAGGTCCAGAGTTGAGGAGAAGGTTGCACAACTTCTGGATCTTCACTCTACTCTCTTCCAGACACTTCTTTGTAACATCCGGAATTCCAGGTATTATATTTTATCATTTATTTTTGAGAAAAGAGAGGGACTCGACGAGTCGAGTCGTAGACTCGTCGAGTGGGACCGCGAATGCTGACTGGATTTAATGAATGGACTCGGCGAGTCGATGCGTGGACTCGGCGAGTCCGCGCTGTTAAATGAAACCCTAAATCTCAGGGCCTGAGCCCTATTTAAAGGCCTTTATGGCCTCCATTTGCGGCTACCTGTCCAGAGAGAGTACCCCTTGAGAGCTTGAGCGAGTTGAGAGAGAGATAAAGCCATATTGATCGATTTTGGTGTAACTTAGCAAAGGAGAAGTTGTTTCCAGCAAGAGGAGGTCAAGGGAGCTGTGGATCTAGAGTTTTCAAGTTCAGATCTACGTTGTTGAGGTATCTAATCGAACTCCTTTTCTGTTTTGGGTTAAGATCTATGATCTAGGGCTTCCTTTGCACCATTTTGAGTTAGATTGTAAAGCATAGGGGGTCCCTTTGAGTATAGATGATAGATCTGGACCTTGAGAGGTCCAAAAGGTCCCAAGCTTCCAGCTTTATGAGGTCTCATGTGAGCCTTGAGAGTAAAATCACATTTAAAAGGTTATTCCTCCATTTTTGGTCTTATAAGCATTGCATGAACGTAAAGTTTGAACCTTTACGTGACTTTCGAGTGTTAGAAGGATGGATCTACTGTTTGGTGAAACAGATCTGACCTCAAGAGATCTTTTGAGAGTTTTCATGGGAGGAACTCGCCGAGTCCATAAGAGACCTGTGGCGACCCGTGGAGTTTAGGGTTGACTCAGCGAGTCAAGTGAGGACAGGGGCGAGGAGGACAGGCATGTACTTGCCGAGTCACTCTAGTGCACTCGGCGAGTCTGGTCAAAATGGACAGTTGACTTTTGGGTTGACTTTTAGGGTTTGTCAACAATTGGGCCTTGTGCCTGTAGAGGGGTAGAATGGTCTTTTACCCTTCTAGGGATTTGCATGAGAGAATATCCAAATTGTGAGGAGACATTTATTTAGTGAAATTTATTATTGTGACTAGGTGGAGGCTAGGGCAGTATTCTGATATCGAGATTTTACCGAGATTCCCGATGTGAGTCTTCTCACTATACTTTACCTAGAGTGGTAATCAGAGCTATGTGACAGTGTATCTTGTATGCTATTTATGTGTTGTGATTCTATGTGATATGTGATATGCATGATTCAGAGTTTACAGCGTTAGGACCAGTGGGTCCACAGAGTCATGGGACCAAGAGGGTCCCACAGAGATATTCGACCAGAGGGTCATCAGAGTTACAGCCTTGAGTGGCTGATATGTGTTTATGTGGTATTTTGGGGAACTCACTAAGCATTTATGCTTACAGAGTTTTGTATATGTGTTTCAGGTACCAGTGATGATCGCGGGAAGGCGCCGGCATGATCTGTACACACTCATGGAGCTTTTGTTTATATGATTCTGGGATATGTTTTTCTATGATGACAGTGGATACATTATGTTTATTATTATCTTATGAATGAAAGTATGTTTTAAAATTGTGAAAAATTATTCGAAAATTTGGGTGTTACATTCTTGTTCAAGAAACTCCACCAAAAGCTCCAAACACACACACACACAATACACCAAGAACACTAAAGGGGGCTAGGGTTTTCTCTTTGACGATGGTGGCTTGAGAAAATAACGAACTCTAAAAGTTAGCACCCTTAAATAAAGCCCAAGGCCCGAGACCTAGGCTTTTGAATCTAGCCGCCACCGCGCTGCGATCCATACCTGACTATGCCACTACTTAAGTGACGTGGCCGTGTCGCTGACATACTATTGCTTTTTTATTTGGTAAATAAGTTTTATAATTGCTATTATTTGAATACAAACTTCAAAAATATCTTGGGGATGAATTTTGGCTACTTTAAAACAAAAGAACAAAAGAGTTTTGTATATGTGTTTCAGGTACCAGTGATGATCGCGGGAAGGCGCCGGCATGATCTGTACACACTCATGGAGCTTTTGTTTATATGATTCTGGGATATGTTTTTCTATGATGACAGTGGATACATTATGTTTATTATTATCTTATGAATGAAAGTATGTTTTAAAATTGTGAAAAATTATTCGAAAATTTAGGTGTTACATTCTTGTTCAAGAAACTCCACCAAAAGCTCCAAACACACACACACACAATACACCAAGAACACTAAAGGGGGCTAGGGTTTTCTCTTTGACGATGGTGGCTTGAGAAAATAACGAACTCTAAAAGTTAGCACCCTTAAATAAAGCCCAAGGCCCGAGACCTAGGCTTTTGAATCTAGCCGCCACCGCGCTGCGATCCATACCTGACTATGCCACTACTTAAGTGACGTGGCCGTGTCGCTGACATACTATTGCTTTTTTATTTGGTAAATAAGTTTTATAATTGCTATTATTTGAATACAAACTTCAAAAATATCTTGGGGATGAATTTTGGCTACTTTAAAACAAAAGAACAAAAGAGTTTTGTATATGTGTTTCAGGTACCAGTGATGATCGCGGGAAGGCGCCGGCATGATCTGTACACACTCATGAAGCTTTTGTTTATATGATTCTGGGATATGTTTTTCTATGATGACAGTAGATACATTATGTTTATTATTATCTTATGAATGAAAGTATGTTTTAAAATTGTGAAAAATTATTCGAAAATTTAGGTGTTACATTCTTGTTCAAGAAACTCCACCAAAAGCTCCAAACACACACACACACACAATACACCAAGAACACTAAAGGGGGCTAGGGTTTTCTCTTTGACGATGGTGGCTTGAGAAAATAACGAACTCTAAAAGTTAGCACCCTTAAATAAAGCCCAAGGCCCGAGACCTAGGCTTTTGAATCTAGCCGCCACCGCGCTGCGATCCATACCTGACTATGCCACTACTTAAGTGACGTGGCCGTGTCGCTGACATACTATTGTTTTTTTATTTGGTAAATAAGTTTTATAATTGCTATTATTTGAATACAAACTTCAAAAATATCTTGGGGATGAATTTTGGCTACTTTAAAACAAAAGAACAAAAGAGGAAAATGCTTAAAGCCCTAAAACACCCGACCCACCGTTGTCTTCATCTTTCCCAAGTAGTGTAGAGGTAGAGGCAGCCATATTTCTAACTTTACTTCCTTCACCGTCCTTTAGAAACATCCATGGCCACACGAACGCTTCTTCAGTTCGCCACCAACGTTACCCAGTTACCGTCGTCTTCCTCCTCAATCTCCACCGGATGTCCGCTTTCTCCCTTCTTCTTGAAAGCATGTGACTCACCTAGGGCTCGTGTACGTCGGCGTTCCGCCGTATGCTGTTCTTTTGCCTCAATGGAGTCTGCAAAGATTAAGGTTGTCGGTGTCGGCGGCGGCGGCAACAATGCCGTTAACCGCATGATTGGTAGCGGGTTGCAGGTGTGTCTCGAAACCGATAATTCTTCTCTCAGATTTATCTTATGTGTCTTTCGAATTGAAAAGAGTAATATCTTGATATCCATTGTTCAAAAATGTGTTATGTACAGGTTTAAATTATATTTAATTTTATCATTCAAGAGATTTGTGTTTCGTTCATTAAAGAAAAAACAGTTATCGTTTTTCACTGGAAGGAACTTCCATGTTGCAGATTTTTCATGTTTGTGCATAATCGTGGATATTGGTTTTTCATTAACATTTACATATGTGAGGGATGATTTCCTTAACAAGATTTGATTTGATGAACTTTAGGGTGTTGATTTTTACGCCATAAACACGGATTCTCAAGCGCTTTTCCAGTCTGTTGCAGAGAACCCAATTCAAATCGGAGAGCTTTTGACTCGTGGACTTGGTCTGCTTGTTTCCAGTTGGAGGATAAGGTTTGTGTTTATATGTTGTTGATGTTGTTGTTGATGGGTTCAGGTACGGGTGGGAATCCGATGTTGGGGGAACAGGCTGCAGAGGAATCAAAGGAAGCAATTGGAAATGCTCTCAAGGGATCAGATCTTGTGTTCATAACAGCAGGAATGGGAGGTGGGACAGGATCTGGAGCTGCTCCAGTGGTGGCCCAGATAGCAAAAGAAGCAGGATATCTGACCGTTGGTGTTGTAACCTACCCGTTCAGCTTTGAAGGACGCAAAAGATCAGTCCAGGCAGGTGATACAAAACCCATTATAAATGATTAATGAATGTGTTATCACTTATCTTCTATCTATCAGGCATTGGAAGCTATTGAGAAGCTGCAAAGGAATGTGGACACACTTATAGTCATCCCAAATGACCGTTTACTGGATATTGCTGATGAGCAGACACCCCTTCAGGATGCTTTTCTTCTTGCTGATGATGTACTCCGCCAAGGCGTTCAAGGCATTTCAGATATAATCACGGTGAGTGAGAGTGATTCAACTTGTATTATTATATATTTATTTTTAGAGGAGTAGTATGTTGATATGATATGATGATGTTTTGTGCAGATACCTGGGCTGGTGAATGTGGATTTTGCAGATGTGAAAGCAGTGATGAAGGACTCTGGAACTGCAATGCTTGGTGTGGGAGTTTCCTCTAGTAAAAACCGAGCTGAAGAAGCAGCTGAACAAGCAACACTTGCTCCTCTCATCGGATCTTCAATCCAATCTGCCACAGGAGTGGTTTACAATATCACTGGAGGGAAGGACATAACTCTTCAAGAAGTCAATAGGGTGTCTCAGGTAAATAATGATTTTGTATGGTATTAATTAATTGAATGAGAATGAATGTGGTTTGGTTTTTTTGTGTCAGGTTGTAACAAGTCTAGCAGATCCTTCAGCCAACATTATATTTGGGGCTGTTGTGGATGAGAGATATAATGGGGAGATTCATGTCACGATTGTTGCCACTGGATTTGCACAGTCGTTTCAGAAATCACTCCTGGCTGATCCTAGAGGAGCAAAACTTGTTGATAGAAATCCAGAATCCACACAACCTTCCATCTCTCCTAAATCCTCCTTCACCACACAAAATCCCACCCCATCTCGCCCTAGGAAAATCTTCTTTTGAGTTTTCACTTTCTTATGTTTCAAATCAAATGTTGTTGATGTTCTTTTTATTTTTTTTATTTTGAGGATGTGTTTTTTACGTGAATGAAAAGCTCACTTCAAATGAAAACAGGTTGATTTGGTTACATTTTCTGACGAATGGAAAATAATTAAATTGTTTAATAGCATGACGTAGTTATGAATTTACAATCATATGAATATATTACACAATTCTGGGGAAGGTACAAAGGGAAGCATGCTTTCACCAAAAAGATGAAATAGTTTTGGAAGCAAATGTCCAGCATTTACTTCCTTCTTCCACGCACGTGACACAGCAAGTGATGATGTTTGTATATTAGCACCAAACCTATCCCTCCTCATACCTGCACTGGTACTGCTCCCCGGGATATTCTCATTACCCATAAACCTTGTTGGTAATACATCAGAAGACCCCCCTCGAGTTATTGAAAATCCACTTCCACCCCCTTGCATCTCCACCTTCACCAAACTCTCACCTGTTGCCGCCTTTTTAACTGCCTGTTCCATCATTCCCGCCTTGCGTTTATCTTCACATCATCAAACAAGAAAAAAAGTTAGTTTTCAAACATATGATAAAACAAAGAGAGCATAAAAGAGCAATTAATGACTAGTAGTACTTGTTGGATTGAGGAGTTTTCCATTAATGGTATGTGTTGGTGGAGAAAGCAGATTGGGAATCATCTTAAGCTGATTGTAAACACATAAACCAGCCGCAGAGATTAAGGCCCCATGCACCTCATTGGCATTCTTGTTGTGAAGGTGCATTTCTGGTTGTATAAACTGTAAATACAAATCAAGATTTGGTAGCAAAAGCAGACGCACCACGCTTGAGCCAAGGGCAGTAATCCCTTTGATAGCACCATAATGTTGGGTCAATGCTTTTGCAGGGTCCATGAAAGCATCAACAAGTGTCCTGGTGACACGTAACTGAAGATTATGATACCCATGCCCAAACCTTCTGCATATTGAAGCCACCAGGTTGGCTGTAAAGTTTCTGAGTTCCCAGTGGTTATTATTATTTAGGGTTTTTGCAACAAGACACGTCATCACGGATGGCATGAGCTGGATCAGATACGGTTCCATGTGCAGGTGTGGATTCTGTACAAGACTCCGCACAAGCCTCATCAAAGCAAAAAGAAGCTGGAAGTTGTTCAAATTACGGGTCACCTGATATCATCAGACATGGTGTTAGGTTAAATTAACTTAACTTAACTTAAGTGGTAATATTAAGCATAGTGAAAATGGTGGACTGACTACCTCTTCAGCAACAAAATATATGAAATAAGGAACCAAAGGATGGAGTCCTGCATCCCTCGCCAAACTCAACAGTGCTTTCTTAAAGATGACTGAGTTTGACCGGGTTACAGTCAGGTCTGTGATCTTTTCAAAGTAAAGCTGAAGCTCTATTGACAGCACATGTTTCACAGGACTTTTATTATTATTGTCCCCAGTCCCAATCCCATCTTCTTTGTTCTTATTATCAACTGGAGTCAAAAGTGCTGCAGTCAAAGTCAAAAGTCAAAAGTCAAAAACTGATTTATAGATTTATAGATTGTTAGTTATTTACCTTCTAGTGGAGGATTCTCGGGAATAGCAGGTTGTACGCCTTCGATAGCCAACCAGTGGTTCACAACTGCAGTATCTAAAGGTGCTTTTGGGAGGGGGGCTTCAATAACCTGAATGAAATATTAATAATTTTAGTCAAAAGTCAAAAGTCAAAAGTCGACTATATACTATACTGTTCTAAGAATGACATGTCATTTACCTCTCTAAATTCTACATCCTTGTCATCAAGGTAAAATAAATCTTTATGTCTGGCAGCTCTTTTGAATCGCAAAGAATTTCCAGATGCAACATATATTGGCTGAGATGAGAGTGAGACACATATGGTATAACATATTCAGATCATTAATATCAATTTGAAGTCAAATATACGTCACTTGAACAAGAACAGAAAAGAATGTGAAAACCATAGTAAATAAATAAAAAATAATTCTATGCAGTAAAAGCAATTCCCCACACCATATACAAGTCGGAATATAATTCTAGGCACGGAGGAGATTAATAAGTGTGCTTAGGCCTTAGAGAAAATAAGTACCAAGAAATGCAATAAATCCCTAGTTTTTGTTACAATCAGATAGGGTGTGTGGTGAATGGTGATACTCTTTAGGATGATGTATTTTCACTTTCCTAGTTTCCTTAAACTGTATTTCGACCCTATGACAAAATCAGTTATGAGATAGTTAGGCACACAACTTGAAGAACAAAACTAGATTCATGTTATGGTATAAGTATATTTGAAATGTCTAGAGAGTGGTATTTATACCAGAATTACCCACAAGTGGAGTGGATAGGAATCACGAAACTGCAGTTAACAGCAGTACTTGTGGTATATACTGTCCCAATCAGCTTGAAGCTTGAAGTTGACTGAGCTCCAAGTCACAAACTGACTTGGTCAGTTTTTAGATGTTTAGTTCCAAACTGATACCCTAAAATTGGCCTAAACTGTCAAGGTTTTCCACACTACATTTTGCAGTCTAAATCTGCATCATTTGTTGTGTTTGGGAATTGGGATCAATCTAGTCTTATACACCTAACTTCTATTAGCTCATAGCCTAAATCCCCTTTGGCACTTCACTACACTTATGTAAATTCCACTCCGGATACTCAAACTGAAAGTCTAAAATCACCAACACTTATTATAGTTTTCACGAATGCCAATATGCCATGCTAGAGCTAGACAAACTTCAATTGATAACTTATAAGCACTCCATGGAATCCAGAACGGCCATATCACATTCCTTAAAAGGAAGTAAATCAACAATATATGTTAGGGCCTTGGGCTGTACTTACACTAGAGCTACAATTGTAGTTGTAACCCTCCAAATCCAAAACCACAAGATGCAGTTATGGATCAAACTTAGCCCACACCACATGACCCATAATATTTGAGCATTGCCTAAATCCCATTCGGTACTAATAACCTAAAATGTCACCCCATCATCAAACATAATCATATCATACAAGATTAGAAGAATAAAATACAGCTGCAAAACCATTCATCAATCAGCTGAGACCATAAAATACCTCCATTTTTCTTAGATCAAGGGCGGTATCCACATCATCTGAAGTCATAGCAGTTCGCTTTGCATGCCGCATACATTTTATAGCCTCCTACAATTGCATAAATTCGAATATGCATGTGAAATCAGTACTGACCATCAACAGTTCACTACACTATATACGCATTGAAACTTAAAGCATGAAAATTTCACAAACAAAATTGACGGCATTCGCATAATCAACCTGCATAATCTCGCGAACACGGTATTCGATGTCGGCGGCTAGAGAAGGCAAGACATCCGGCGACAAATTTCCAACGCCGATACTTTGCGCGATCACTTCGATGCTTTCTTTATCTACGACGCTCATCTTCTTGTTTTTTTTCTTTTTCCCTTCAATTAACTACAATCACCTAGCCTATAAATAATTTACAAAAAAGAGCTCAATCACAGCAACTTACTCATTCAATTCCCTCATTTTCCCAATTTCGGTCCAAGAACTTCGACGATAAAGAGGGAATTTGAAAGAGCCGACTCTGCGTTTGCGATTTCAATTTGGGGAACCGTCCGCACAAGTGGGTGGGAGAATGCAAGTGCAAACCATTTTCTTGGTAAATCTAATGGGCCTCCAGGGCTATCAAGGCCCAAGTCAGATTTTTTTTTGCACGCCGTATTCGGATTACCGGAATGCAACCTTTTTATGCTAGAGGTGCAAAAGTCGGATTTTTTTGAGAAGCGGGACCAGTTTTAAAACCGATTCGGTTCATAACAGATCCAGTTTTAGTCAATGAATTAAGAAACCAGTCTGGCCAGGAACCGGATTGGTTTCAAATCGGTTCAAACCGAACAATACTTACAACTAGGGATGAAAGTGGGTCCAAACCCGGACCGTTGGACCCGGACCTAGAAAACCTGGAACTCAGAATTGATGGATTATAAGACCCGATAACCGGACCGGTATACCTAAACCGGTTCCCGTTCGGTTCCGGGTATCGGACCGGGTAAAGTGGGTATGGAACCGGAAATTGAACATTGGAACCGGAAACCCAAGATTGGAACCGGAATTTTGGAACCGGAAACCTTTAAATTTGGCAAATTTTTTGTTCAAAGTGTTCATTTTAGTGATGGTTTCCATAATGAGTCGTTATAGTTGTATTTCATGTGTTTTACTGCATGATACTATAAGTTCCATAAGATGTATTCGTTGAGATCAAGTAACAAATGGGTATGCTTAAATTTCCCACTAATTCCCACTTTTATAATGTTAACTGTTAAGCTTATAAAGAAAAAAAAAACGTATGTAAAAATGACATTATGAAGAAAATAAGTAAAACATCCAAAATTAGTTTCCTAACATCATAGCATTTAAATATGTTAAACCATCAATACATAGGTATGTTTATATTCCAATTTTGTGGTACAAATCAGCTAAGTGAATGACACCAGGTTACACCAGGGATAAACATGGGATAACTTCAATTAACAAACTGGGGAAAACAGGGGATAAACAAAAAAAATACTTGGAGCCTAAGTATTATTGATTGAAAACGTTTTTTGGGCTACATAAAAATACCACACAAAAGGATCCATTTATACTAAACACAAAACAATCATAGGCAAACACACAAAAAATGGAATAAAAACTATTAAATAAGAAAATATCCAAAAATACCCCTGCTCTTATTTGTGATTTCTACAGATTCATTCACATGTTTTTAAGTCCCTTTGATGATTTACATGTTTTTGGCTTAACCTCTACTCTAAAACAAAATCCTAAACATCCAAAACTAAAATATGGCAGCTTTTCCGAAAATACCCCTAGGACATAATCGGTAATGTTTGTGTAATCCAACCTTTCCAGGATTCTGTGATTGATCACCTGTTTTGTAATAGGAATGGAATCAGAGACAAGAATGGAATCGCAAACTAGAATACCAAGATGGGTTTATTTTTACTTTAATAACGAAATAAATGGCCACTTAAAGATCATGATCATAACCATTTACACATCGGAAATTGTCATGTCAGCATTTAGAATCAACTGCCATTCGGTAATAACAAAACATGGAGCCTAATCGCCTATGATCATGAAAGTCGCACTTCTTTTTGACACATCCCATAAAGATTGCAGCATTTGTAGTTTCAACAAGCTTTGATAGTTAATGGGTTTCACTAACACCTCCAACACTGTTCTAATTTATGTATTAGTCAAAGAATGTGATAAATCAAGATGTGATCTGTGTATAAACATTGACATTCATGAATTACCACATCTAATTTGAAATTATCATAAAGCCATGCAGTGATTAAACACTAATTTAATTAACAACAAATTTGTAAAAGGGAGCAACTATAGAGTCGATGAACATTAGCCCAAAAAGACTCGGTAAAGTAAGATGATTTATTGAGAAAGATGAACTGCTTCCATTAAAACACTGTAATTTTCTTCCTTTTCGAGTTGATTGTCTCAATGGTGAATCTATCCAAATAGTCGATGTCGATCACAATAACCCTTCGTGCGTTCGATGTCAAACCCAACCTGGATGAATGATCGAAATCCACACTTCGATAGCGTCTTTTTTTTAGTTCCCATTCAAATTCCGGTTCAGGGCCTAATAAACCGGGTCTGGTGCATTTAATTCGGTTTTGTTTTTTTTTCTAATCCGGTTCTCAAACCCGTTAGACCCGGACCCGTTGGACCCATACCCGGAATACCCGGAACCCGGACAAGGTCAAATTTTAGAACCGAGAACCAGACTGTTTAAGAATTTTCTGGTTATACCGGTTCCGGTTCCGGTTCCGATCCGGTTTTCCAGGTCTATAGCTCATCCCTACTTACTGTTGGGTTTTCTATGCATCAAATACACTCTAAACTAGGCAGCGGAAAAATCGAAACAACGATATACCTAAGTGTACATGCATCCTATGGATCTATGGCTTCATGCTAATTACATTAGCCCTAGAAAACTAAAACATAAGTAAGAAAACATACCTCTTATGTAACCCTTGATCTCCATGCTTGAGATCTTAAACCTCCATGAAGTTGCTTGGATGAAAGGACCCAAACCAGAATCCCTCTAATGGTATCACACCCAATGACACCAAAGAGTGGAATAAAAAATAACTAGGAGAAGGGTCAATTTCACAAACCCAAAGGGGTTAGAAATCGTCCCTAAGAGGGGGAGGAAGAAGGGTTGGCGAATACTTCAAGCCAAGGTGCAATGATGAATGAAATCCCTAAGGCCCTATTTATAGCCTTGGATGCCTCCTAGGGGTTTAGTACTCCTTCCCATGTGGGATGGAGGCCTAACCACGAAATTTCACTCCTTTCCCATGTGGGATGGAGTGATTTTCATCCAACCCTAACTCCATAAGGGTTATAGAACATTCCTGATTAACCAACTATCGATTAATGAACATTCAACCCTTTAATTAATTAAAGTGTTAATTAATTCCCAAAATATATTTCCAAAATATATTTCCAATTAGTTTCTAATTAATTATTAACCACAATAATTAATAAACTAATTTCTCCTTTATTTATTCTACTCAATTTGGGTCTTGAGGGCAACCCAAAAGGACCCTGCTATTATTAGAAAATATGATCGACAGTTAATGACCTTGGACACTATTCCAACAGTCTCCCACTTGGACAAGTCATCAACTATACGAGGACCGATATTTCTCAATAATCAATAGAGAGTTAGCCATCCAATGCAACTACCGAACTCTTGATCTAATCAAGATTCAACCCTTAGATAAGTGATCAACTATCCCTTCGTTCTATGATATCTGTATGAATTCGAGACATGGATAATGGTCAATCTCAAGAATTCAAGATTATGTTTCCCGATATAGATTTGTGACGACTGCATCTGACTACTAAATTGAACACATCAATTCCAGTCAGGGCTCGGCCAAGCTCTTTAGATGTCAGCACCAAATCATCGAGGGGCCCATAGATATCGCTTCTCCTATTAGGGCAGAAGGAACGAATAAACTTTGACTACATAGTTTTTGTCTATTTCATCATGTCACACATGGACATACCCTTTATAACTACCAGTTACGGTTAGCGTTGGAGTAGACCAATACATAACAAAATCATAGAGCAAAACCCCACATGCATCTAGGTTTGAATAATAGAAGATATTATCGTCTTAGAATTACTCGTGACTGAATCCATGAAGTAATCTCTAAGCGTGGGTTGATCCAATACTTAAATCTCTATTAAGCACTCATGAGTGTTAGCGCAATCTCTTTGCTATGTCCAATCAATATGGACAATCCACTAATACTCATGACAGTCTTGAATCACTACTTACTTTCAAGAGTATGACCGACTGTGGGCGTTTGAGTAAATTAATACTCGGGAAGTGGGTTCCAAACATGCAAAAGTGAGAACGCAGTGATAGGCTAATTGAAATGACCGAAATCCATCATATATTAAGATCACCACTTAACAAATCGCCAAATCAAATTAAAACTTATACTGCTTAAAGTTCTCGGGTTTTAAAACTGTAGCACCTGGTTCCTGGTATGTATTTTATCTAAGTGTTTTGTGTTTTTGGCCTGGGACTCGGCGAGTTGAAGGCCCAACTCGTCGAGTAGAAGCGGATTTGATCTGGGATTTAAATGACGGACTCATCGAGTCGGCTTCCAGACTCGACAAGTAGACTCTGACTGGACAAAACCCTAATCTGAGGGTTTGCACCCTATTTAAACAACCTTATGCAGCCTCCATCGCCCCTTTATGCTCCTAGAACACTCCATACAGAACCCTAGTCGTGTTGTGAAGATCTAAAGGCCTTTTTGGTGATTCTTGGTAGCTTGTGGTGGTAAGAAGGAAGGGAAAAGCTTGAGGAATCAAGAGAAGACCAAGGGAGTTCAAGTTTGTGCATCTTTTGCAGTTTCCAGAAGGTATAAAGTCGATACCTTGCTTGTTCATTTGCTAGATCCCTTTTTGGGGAGATTTAGGGCTTTTATAAGCCATTCTTGGCAACCAACCATGATTGCAAGCATGGTTGGGGGTTGAGGCTTCGGATCTAGGTCCATGGAGGAGTTACAAGGCAGAAAAGGGCTGCTTTTCCACCCATGGAAGCCCCCATGCAACTTAAGAGCCTCTTTTAGAGCCTTTTTGGCTCAAAGTCCCATGCATGCACGTAAAGTTCGTAACTTTACGTGCTAGATCGAGTTTAGGGACCTAGATCTATCATTTGGACAAGAGTTGTACACCAGAAATCGAAGAAATAGACTTTCGACTATATCGACTCGACGAGTCGTTCTTGGGACTCGGCGAGTCCGAGGCTTGGTTTCCCTTTTCTGTTAAGGTTCAAGAGACCCAGTTGAGTGATAGAAAGGTTTTAGAGGGTCCAGGGAGTGACCTAAACGTATTGGAATAAGCCATAGTCCTGGAGTTCATAGGAGTCGGCGAGTGCATGAGCCGACTCGGCGAGTCCAAGGCAATCTCCCAACTCTTGAAGATGAACTCGACGAGTTGTTCATATAACTCGGCGAGTCGAGGACAGGACATGTTCATAGGATGAAGATGAACTCGACGAGTGTTCA